ATTGTTACTCAACTTTTCCATTTGAATTTACAATAAGTCATGATATACTGCATATTTTTATATTTTCTGTATATATATATATATATATACTGCATATTTCTGATATTTTCTGTATTTATACTGCATATTCGTTATATTTTCTGCATATTTATACTGCATGATTTGATAATATACTGCATAATAACAGAATAATACTGACATTGTCTAATACATGTATAATGTGCAGTAACTTAAAAGAAAGAAGAGAAAAAGTTACGTGAAACAAATTCAATTCATTGAATGTTGAATGAATAAATACATTCTTGATTTTCATCTAATTCATGAGTGTTGTGTGTTTGCTTGGTGCCAAAGTAACAAGTTTGTATCTTTTCCAACATATACAGTGACTAAAATAAGTCTGTGCCATAATAGAGTAATGAAAATTTAACATGTGATATTTGATTGTTAAAATGTTCTATTTAGAATGTCTATCTTTAAACCTGTTTTTCTCAAAATTCCGTTTCATAAAACCATGTTAATAAGCTGACTTCAGATAATAATAACATTTGTTACAGACATGCTATGAAAAAAGGAAAACAGATTTGAAAAGAGCTTGAAAGCAGCTTTAAGGTGGTATCAGAATCTTAAGTTGGTAAAATTTCACCATGTGATGGGTTTTCCCAGATCGCATCACATATGGTTACAGGGTTAGGCAAGTTAAACACTTGGTTAGGATAAGGGAAAGATTGTAACAGTTACAGTTACAGTTAATAAAAAGGTTAATTCAGATCTCCTTGTTTCACCTTACAGGGTTGCTGGACTTGCCACGCCACGAGATCAAGTGAGAATCCATCTTGCCAGGCTTCAAGCTATGTTCTTGACCACAGTGGTCCACACCAATCAGTGTCCTGTAACGTGGTGTGTGCAACAACGACTGTTTGAAAACAACAATGGTGGCCGCCAAAGAGGTTAGTGTAGATGCTGCTAGCATCAGTTCTATCAGAACTGGAGAGTATTTCTTCATTGAAAGAAGAGCAAAGAACAACACTGAAGGCTTTTCTGAAAGGAAAATATGTTTTCTCTCTCCTCCCGACTGGCTTTAGTAAGAGTTTAGCTACGTTTTACTGATTGGTTGAAGAAAGCCCATGTTAGACAGATGATGCATCCAATCACCTAGTAGTATTTTTTGACACCCTTTTCTCAGATGGGTCTGTGTAACAAACCATTCAGGTTCATAATGTTGGCATTGTACGTGAATCATCGATCTAAAATGTGTGTGTTTGTTTTCAGGAGGCCATACTGTTTCATATATCTGGTTGTCAAATTCTTCTTGGTGTGGTCTGCCATAACTCTTAACGTAACTAACATTAACATATTGTGACACTGGAACCAATTTCAGTGCATACATCAACTTCAAGCGATCCAGCTTCAGAACATGTACACCAAACTTGATGATGGTCAGTGAAACTGGCCCCCAACTGCAATCCAACCAGCACATCCATTCACTTTATAAATCCCCTAGCTGATTCAGATTTAGGCATACCAAAGATGACTGCTTACCCAGCTCGATGATTCACCTCCTACTGCTGCTCATCCACATTACCCTTCTGTTCCCAAGGACCGATGCGAGCTTAGAGTGTCCATTATGGTGTCTTTGGGGACACAGCTCTGTCGAAGCCATGAACATTTGATGGGGACATTAGCGAAAGGCAACACGTCATTACATGACCATTTACACATAATCACCCACTTAAGAAGACCCCATAGGACAGAACTGCATAGCATGGGCCATTTACACACCCAATGTGTGTCTGTGAGGATGCTGATGTGTGTGTGTGTGTGTGTGTGTGTGTGTGTGTGTGTGTGTGTGTGTGTGTGTGTGTTTGGGTGCATGTTTGCACATATGCTGTGGCCTAATAGTCCATCTGACACATGCCTTATGGTGATGCTCAGAAATAACCATCAAAATGACCCATGTGCCTTCTCTTTCATGGCATCACACTCCAGCTCTGTTCTATCTTTCTGTCGCCCGCCTGGCTGGCTCTCACACACACACACACTCTCTCTCTCTCTCTCTCTCATAGGGAATTACTGTCCCAGGTGGAGAGATTGAGAAGCTCTCTCTTCCATTTATGATTCCTCATCTCTTCCTCTCTCAGGTCCTTTTGCTATCACGCCTCTCCATATGCACGCTTACCATGTTTACCAGTGAGGGGAATCAGTGCTGGTATTGTATATGCTGCCCTGAGAGCAGGGACGGCTGGTATATATGGGCTAACAGGGCTAAGCCCCCCCTATCTTTTACAGTAAAGATGAAAAACTATTATTAAAAACCTTAGAACATATTGTTTTGAATTTTGGTAGAACCTAGAGCAGCAACAGCACCAAAAAAGTGACAGAAAAAACCCAGGATATATGATATATCTTGGGTTTTTTCCTGTGAATGGGCTAAATGTATTCAGCCCAAGCACAGTTGCATAAGCTTCCATTGACTTGTGATTGACAGGTGTCCTGACACGCCCCCTTCATATGCTGCCCATTTGGGCTAAATTCATTCAGCCCAAAGGCTGACCTTGGACCAATCACAGCGCAGTAGCTACAGTACAGTGACCTTCGACCAATCACAGCGCAGTAGCTACAGTACAGTGACCTTCGACCAATCACAGCACAGTAGCTACAGTACAGTGAGCCTAGTTGGTAGTATGGCGGGCGTTAGCATGAACATGAAGGTGGATTATTCACTTTATAATCAATTTTCTTTAAAGTCTTTGGAGGAAAAAATGGAAGTTCAGAGATTGGGAACACATCATCCAAACAATGTACAAATAACACAATTATAATATATTATATATATTATAATAAACACATTTCCCATGTTTGCTGTTTGGAGGAGACACGGCTTGGACCCAACAAGGAATTGTAGATTTAAAACATTTATCTGACAAAATTAGGAAACATGAATGCAGCACGAGCCACATTGGAAATAGCGCAAAGTTTCTGGGTAAAGTGAACATTGCCTGTCAGCTTAATGAGGGCCACCGCATCGCTGAACAGAGACACAACGAGCTGGTAAAGAAAAAAACAGGCATTCACTATAATGGATATAACAAATCACTCCAGCGGGGACCAGTTCTCTGTTTTACAGTCAATCAGCTGATCATCTGTCAAACACACAGGTTGCAAAGTACACGTCTACGACCACAGATTCTCTCAGAACGAGACAGGGCCTGGAGAATGTTTCGTGCTTCATATCTGAACTGCTGACCACAGATGACAATCAGCCACATCCAGATGCGGACACTGCAGCCGCTGCAGCCGCTGTAAAGGCTTGTGTATACTCGCCGCTCCCGACCCGTCGCACAACAACGTGACGTCAAAATGATGTAGATCTTGCTGGCGCGCCAGGATTTTGGCCAGGCACCACTCTTTTTGTTTCAAAGCAGAAACAGAAAATGGACGATCTGTACGATCCTTCAATGAAGGAACACAGAGATGCCCAGAGGTGCCTCGCCATGAATGTTGGAAAAGAGGAGGCCATATGCCGGAAAAATTTAGAAGAACCTCCGAGACCAATTTGGAAAATTTAAAAAAAACTAAACTTTTTCTTCTTCTTCTAGTGCCTAGAAATAGCAAAGTCGGTAGCCTTTCCTCAGTAGCGACACCTCTGTTCAGGAGAAGACTGCAACTAGTGTCGTCACCACCACGCGCAAGTATAAATAGTTACGGCACTCCTGTGACGTCACATTGTCGCGCGACAGGTCGGCAACGGTGAGCATAAACATATATACATAGACGCCTCACCGACTGTGGAGCGGCGTGCCTACAGGGCGGCCATCTTGGAACAGGGCTAGCAGAGGCAGCGGTGCATCAACCTACGAAGGAAAGAGGAACTCCTCAATCTCAAAGTAGAATTATTTGCTGAATTTTGGACCAATTTCCAAACGTATTGATTTGTTAAAAACGTCACACATGTAGCTATGATACAGGGTGCTTGGATATTTTAAAAATGCTGGTTTTACTACCCAAATACAAATTCTACTTAATGTTATCAGCAGACGAGCTTCTGACAGAAGATGTGTGAATGAAAAGATGCCGGACTTCTGTGCCGCGTATGGATGCTTTAATGAGCGGAGCAAACCAGATCTCGTGGGAGACAGCAGATTGTATGTCTACAATAATAATAATAAAAATGATGATGATAGTGATATAATTATGATAATAACAATAATAATATAATATTAATATAATATAATGATAAGAATAGTAATAACAGTAACAATATAATACTATTATATTATAATTATAATAATTATTATATATTATATATATATTATTATTATACTCAAATGCAATGTATACCCTTCAAGCAATACTTTAAATAAAGACCTGAACACACCTGATTGTTTTCTGGGTTCTTTTCGTTCTATCTCTGTCTGTCTGTCTGTCTGTCTGTCTGTCTGTCTGTCTGACATGTTTGACGTTTGACAAACAAACCTCCTGAAAATAGCTTGACAACTGAGCAATTTATTATCACTTTTATTGTGTAGAAAGACCATTCCTCCATAGATGTAATCCTAGATGGATGCACTGTAGGAGCGAGCGGCCCTGTTCCAAGATTATTATTATTATTATTGCTATTATTATCATTATATTATTATTATTGCTATATTATTATTATTATTGCTATTATTATCATTATATTATTATTATTATTATTGCTATATTGTTATTATTATTGCTATTATTATCAGCCAAAATAAAATAAGTACATTAACTGGCCTAAACTGATTTACCTTTGTACAACTTAAACTAATATAGCTGGTCTAAAATAATATTATTCAGAGACACATAACACAAAATCTGGTTAATTTGTTTTTATTTAAAATGAATAAAACCTCATACAAATATCTATATCTATATATCTATAGAGAGAGAGAGAGAGAGATATAGATATAACACATCAACATGGAACTAATCAACATATGGATGACAGTCACTGTCTTGTGTCAAAACACACAGAAAAACTGCCTCAGAGCCTAGCTATATGTTTCAGGCAGAAAAGCTAAGGCATGTTTTGACCAGTTCAGACTGACCCTGAACATTTTTTTACCATTAACTGCACTATGTAGTGCCTAAATACTGGAATGAAATATACATATACCACATTTAACACACATCTACAGTACAAAACATGGAAATTCTTCCACCAATCTCAAACTAAACTGTTCAAAATGCACTTTGACCTTGACTGAGAGCTTAGCTTTTTAAGCTTCTCTTAAGTTTTTTATCGATGATGAACACAGTGTATGACCTATCATATTTAGAAAAGAAAAGAAATGAATCCGCTGACTTCAAAACTGCTTCAACCAAAGTAACTAGTATTAGTGCTAGTACAATAATAATACAAGTACAATATCTGCAAAGGCTAAGGCATGGTATAACCAGCTCACATTAAACATATAAACTTTGGTTTTACTATACTATACACATGGTAGAAGTACAAAACAGAACCGGAAACGTGAGAGAAAAAAAAGGAATTTCTTTGAGTCCAGTCACAGCCTATCCATAGGAACACACTTCAAGATGTGCTACACAAGTAGTTAACAAGAAAAACATCCATGCTGACTGTCACTGAATGTGTGGACACAGTGTTTGCCCCTTATGAAAACAGCTTGATTTTCAGCTGCTGTATCTTTGCATTCAGCTTGTGTCCATCCAAGTTCATAATGATCTTCTGGAAAAACTCGAAGGTGTACTTGAGGTTTTGGGGAAAGGCTAGATCAAGGGCATAAATGAGCCCAAACAGCATGATGAACCCCATGATGACGCTGCCAACATTGTTGAGGACTTTAATGCCCTCAATCACAACTCCCACGTCCTCTGGCTCTTCATGTCCATCTCTTCGGATTGTGTAAATCCCCATGACTGTAGTGGTGATGTCCCTCTCTGCATCCTCAGCTGCAGAGGACTGAACAACAGCACAGAAAACAAATATAAGTAAAACGCTAAACAACAAACAGAAAATCATATACAACATATAAATGCACAGTTACTACATACAGCAGTTTAAAGCAACAGTTCATCAGTTGCCTCTGTCAAAAAACAGGTGCTAATTCGGGCTGTAGCCTTCAATGTTTGTAAGATATAGGCCAGGGTTAGGGATGGTGGTGTGTCAGGCTTTTACAGAATCTTCTGATGCACACATCAGTGTTGTTTCCTGAAGTCACTGGCTGTTTCATAGTATTTCTCATAAATGACGCATGGAATTAGATTAGTCTCAGTATTATAGAGTAACTAACCCCTGCGGTCAACTTCACCTGCTGCATCATTTTGAAAAATGCTTAAAAAGTGGGCAGACACTGACAGAACAAGGAGAGAGGAGGAGGTGAGACAGGGTGGAGCGTATTTCACAGACTGCTCCTCAGATTCTAGAGAACATGGATGACAGTGGACTGAGCCCGATCAGCTTCAGCTCCATCACTGCCTGAAACTGGAGCTGTCAGAGCCAAGGCTATAGCAGTGCAAGAGAGCTGTAGCAACATAATGTCAGAGGCTTTATGGCCAACATTTTTCAGTTTTAAAACGATGCAATTTCAATTATCCTTTTAGAATCTACCACAGAAAATATTCAGCAAAACTCAGGAGTGAGAAACCAAATCCATCCCCACTTATAAAGGTATGTGTGTCTGCGTGTACTGTGTGTATCTTTGTATGATCATTTCCAGTGTGTACAGTGACTACTACGTGTCACTAGGTTGCAGTAATGTCCTGATGAGTAAAATGGAGGTGCCAGAAGACAGGAAATTCAGGAAAAGTGGAAAAAAGATGAATTAGAGTATTTTTTATGTTGCAGGTTTACAATTATACTACATGAGAGAATTTTAATAAACTTACCAAATATTCCTTGAAAAACACATCTGGGTCTTCACTGACATAGACAACAAGGCTTCTCAGGATGAACTCCCTCCTTATGTTGATGTCATCGCACTAAAACATGGGTGAGAAATAAAGACATCTGGTTATGATGGTGGTGCAGGGATTAGAGCAGTCTGAAGATCAGTAGGTTTTTGGGCTATCTGTTGTATATGTGAAAAAAATTATTATATAATCAAACTGTAAAAGAAAGCAATAAAATATATTAATAACAGACATTTACACACCTCGTCTTCCTGACAGCATTAGAGGATGTTTGTGCCACAGCTTCTCTTTTTGTATTGGTAAAAAAACCAAACTAGCTTGTATATGTAACAGAGTCAAATATACAGCAGTAATATGTAGTATTATAATTACACAAAATCTGTTTTAATAGTTATAACCTGACATGTCCGGCCTCCTGAGTCAATATGTGGAACGTTTGAGACTCAGTTTCTGTCCCCCGACGTTCACTTTCGTGGCCCCCTTAAATGTGTCTCACGCTTTGCCTCTCCCCTTTGCTGTTGTACTTGGGAGGGTGAGCGACACTGCGGTCACAGAACCTTCCGTGTTTTAGCCTCTGTTAAACTACAATTATAAGTTTACCTGCTAGCTTAAACTTATTGTGTAGTACGCTAACATATTTCTGTCATTTAAATTTGTGTCGGAGCTCACGTTGATAACGACTGACCGGAGGATATTGTTGTTATTTACACCTTTGTCAGAATAAACGGAGATCGCCTCCAAAGATATCCTGGTCTGGGCCTCTTCATCAAAACACAACGCAGACAACACCAGACACTAACCGGTTACACTTATTCATGACTGACTGACTGTTAGCTAGCCTTTGGTGTTGTAACCATAGACTGTATATATCACTTATCACTATTTGCGACAAGTTTGCAGCGAGTAATTGGTCTTATACAAGCCACAAACAGCCTCTAACATCTAGACAGGTTTAACATGTGTGAGAGAGACCCTGACTGAGGAGGGGAAGAGAGGGGAGAGGTGAGGGGGGGTCTGCTTAAACAGACTCATAATTCATGTTCATTTACACTTTTTAAGTAAAAGTTGTGTGGTTATAACCCGAGTCAGAGTAACCACAGACACTTAGTCAAACTTAATTCTCCCTCATGTATCTTAGCTAGCTAGCCCGCTAGCCCATGTCCGACTTCACTGACGGTAAAACTCGTCGGTCTTTTCACAGCATGCTTTTTAAAATATAACAAAATGGAGTACTCACCAAGGAGTGGAATTACAGCAGCTTTCCGTGGCTCTGTAAAGTAAAACCCCGCAGCAGCGTTGGCAGAAGTTGTCAGTGAAAAAGGAGCGGGAGGAACGGAGGCTGAGAGCGCGCTGCTTCGCACATGCACAATGGCCGGTCCCAATTCAAATGAAACTCATTTGTTTTGAGTTCATGAATGTCAAGGTGAAACTATTACGTTACCACAATTCAATTTACATCGGTTTAGTGTTTAATAGATTTGTTTCAGCAAATCAAACAACAGTTTAATGTGTCACATCAAAGAAGGGCTTGGATCAGTTTTTTGAGTGCAGAAGTCCGGCATCTTTTATTCACAAATCTTCTGTCAGAAGCTCGTCTGCTGATAACATTAAGTAGAATTTGTATTTGGGTAGTAAAACCAGCATTTTTAAAATATCCAAGCACCCTGTATCATAGCTACATGTGTGACATTTTTAACACAATACGTTTGGAAATTGGTCCAAAATTCAGCAAATAATTCTATTTTGAGATTGAGGAGTTCCTCTTCCCTTCGTAGGTTGATGCACCGCTGCCTCTGCTAGCCCTGTTCCAAGATGGCCGCCCTGTAGGCACGCCGCTCTAGTGGGCGGCAGCAGTCCATGCGGCGTCTATGTATATATGTCTATGACGGCGAGTATACCGAGCGCTTAGCGCCGCGCAGGATGCAGCGCTCTGATAATGTGTCAGTAGCAGCACAGTGCTGTGACTTAATGGTCGAGAAGTCAGAGGCTTGCTTTGAGAAAGCCAGGCACTTGTTGTCTTTGCATGTGCACATTACCCAATGATCTGCAGGGAGAAACTGAAAGGTGAGCTGATGGTGAGGTACAGCACTGTGGAGTCTGACATGGTGATTAACCTGTTTGCGTCACAGAAAGGCCGTCGATGTGAGCACCGTTTTAAATAAGGTATGCCCAAGCCCTAAAGCAACTCTCTCTTCTACAAATAATTATTTTTGCTTTGGTTTTATAGATTTATTTCTGGTACATCTTGCTGGTACTTTTCTATAATGTAGTCGTAGCACAATTGACATGTGAGAGAGAGAGAGAGAGAGAGAGAGATTTTTTTTGCATCAGGTCATTCTTTTGGGTTTGTCTCCCCAGTGTTGCCGTAGAGCCCTTGCTATAACAAAGTATACAATGTTGTTGCTGTAACTTGATGTGATGCTGCTGTTGCTGCTGTGTGACGTAATGATGAGTGTAATGCATTTGTTAGTATACACCCTGCTCTTTACAATACATAGCAATTTGGGTAAAAAAAAAAAAGCTTTCCTTTATGCATTTTATTCAAAAGATGTTTTGTTAGAGGTATTATGGCAGTAATATGTGTCATAGCAGTAGCTAAATAAACTATGTATATCCAATATTTTAGCTAATATAGATAATCTTAGCATATTTACATGGTAGTGGGAAATTGGAAATCCTGTCTCTCATCATCTGTATCAGTCATCACTTATGACCCACTAGGAGCATGTGGTAATGTCTGTATCTGCAGAGACCCTCTGCCTGTATTTTCTTATTTTGTTGTATTCAGGACGTTTCTGGGCATCAACCTTTAGGCAGTGCACATGGTATGTTACACTCACATTCACACCATGTTACACTAGGTGTAGATCGTCAAATACTAAAACTGGGAATGAGAAATTATCTTCAAGCCACCAACCCAAAGTGTCTTTCTATTTGCAAATGCCATTAGGAGGAGCCAGAGGAACCTGATTCTTTCAGATTATCTGTCTCATGTACTACTGTCAGGATATAGTTAAGGTGGCCTTAAATCTTGAAAAAAGCCAAGTCCCATCTTGTGCATAAACTCTTTCAATATTTAACTGAGACCACCACCCTTTCCTAACCCTAAAGCTGTAGTAGGTAACTTTATTAAAATTAACTTTTTGTCATATTTGCTGAAACCTTAACTATATCCTGACCGTAGGACATGAGACAGTTTATCTGTGAAAAAAATCATGTTCATCTGGCTCTTCCTAGTGCTCCTAATGGCATTTTCAAGAATCCACCATACCAGTAAGGAAAACAACTAATCAGAGCTGAGAAAGATAGAACGACACTTTGGGTTGGTGGCTTGAAGATAATTTTTCATTCCCAGTGACAGTATTTGACGATCTGGGAATGTGACTCAACAATAAACGTTAGATGAAAAGATTAATTCCACTCTCGACAGTAAGAAACAGCTAGCCTGGCTCTGTCCAAAGTTAATAAAATACATCTGAAAGCACCTCCAAAATCATATTTTGTTCTGTACACAAATAGAAAACAGAAATTTGTGGTTTTAGGTCTTTAGAATTACATGATGGAGCTATTTTTTCAAGACTCCAGGATGTCAGTGCACCCAGCTGTTTGCCAAGAAATAGTTACAGCACATACCTCACTAATAAGCAACCACAGAAACCTGTTGCCATGGTCACACAGTGACTTGTAGCGGCATGTGGAATAAAGTTCAGCTACCAACAACTCAGACGGCAGTGGCAAATAGCAGTGTGCCTTCAAGGGAGTTCAGCCGCCAAATCTGACCCTCCAGATTTGGCCACCACTGGCTTTAAGGGTCATAATTTATATCTAAACATTTTCATTATTCTTCACAATTCAGTTTACAAAGGCTTATGTAAATCCTAATAAATGTTATGTTTCATCTCTTCCAAATTATTAGAATATCGCTCAATTTGGCAAGATAGTCTTAAAACCTATAGAAAGGCCCTCTGTATTGCCAGAGAAGACTATTATTCAGCACTAATAGAAGAAAATAAGAACAACCCCAGGTTCCTCTTCAGCACTTTAGCCAGGCTGACAGAGAGTCACAGCTCTATTGAGCCACGTATCCCCATAACCCTCAGTAGCAACGACTTTATGAGCTTCTTTTTTGATAAAATGATTGCTATTAGAGACAATATTAATAACCAAATGCCCTCAACAGGTATTGCTGTCTCTCCAAGTTCAGGAAAGGGTTTTTAAAGGATTTCAAACCTCCCTTTCCTCTCTAAAATTCAGGAGAAAGTAGTCGCCAAGAAGTTGTGTGACTTTCTACATAGCAAGCCTATTTGAGGATTATCAGTCAGGATTTAGAGTTCATCACAGCACAGAGACAGCTCTGGTTAAAGTTAATAATGACCTTTTAATTGCTTCTGACAATGGACTTGTCTCTGTACTTGTATTATTAGATCTTAGTGCCGCATTTGACACCATTGACCATGATATTCTTTTACAGAGACTTAAGCATCAAATTGGCATTAAAGGAACCGCTCTAAGCTGAAGTCCTATTTATCAGATCGTTCTCAGTTTGTACAAGTTAACGATGAATCCTCCATAAACACTAAAGTTAGTCATGGAGTTCCACAAGATTCTGTGCTTTGACCAATTCTATTCACTTAATATATGCTCCCTTTAGGCAATATTATTAGAAATCACTCCATTAACTTTCACTGTTATGCAGATGATACCCAGTTATATCTGTCGGATCAAGCCTGATGAAATTAATCAGTCATCTAAGTTACAAACATGTCTTAAGGACATAAAAACCTGTATGAGCTGCAATTTTCTGATGCTAAACTAAGGGGGGTTCGGACGGGCCTGCCGCCACTGCTAAAAAAAATCCTAGAGGAAACACTGACTAGAACACTGCATTCTCTGAATGCAGGGCTACTTGTGGTTCCTATAGTCTCTAAAAGTAGAACAGGAGCCAGAGCCTTCAGCTACCAAGCTCGGGAGGCAGACACCCTCTCCACATTTAAGAGTAGGCTTAAGACGTTCCTCTTTGATAAAGCTTATAGTTAGGGCTGGATCAGGTGAGTCCTGAACCATCCCTTAGTTATGCTGCTATAGGCCTAGACTATCGGGGGATTTCCCATGATGCAATGAGCTCCTCTCTTCCTCTCCCTCTCTTTCTGCACACATTCATGTTCCATTAATGCATGTTACTAACTTCACGTCTTCCCCGGAGTTCTTGTGCTTTCTCGTCTCGCAGGTTCTCATGGATCCTGGTGGAGCCTCCTGCCATGGTCCTGCTTGACTCCCACTGCTAATATTACTGATATTATTATTACTATTATTATTACTACAGTTACTATTATTAATATATTCACTGCATCATTGTCCCCCATCGTTGTTGTCGTCATCATCATCATCTTCTTGATGTTCATCATCATTCATCATCACCTTCAGTCACTACTATTAGTGTAGTTGTTGCTACTGTTGTTGCTGTGCACCTTAACTGCCCCCGCCACATTTCCGCAAACGCCATTCAAAAGTTTGTTTGTGTCTCTCACCTGGCTTTTTACATTTGTACTGGAATTACTAACTTTTTGGTGCCATCTGTGGATGACATCGTTGTCCTACTGTAAAAATACCTGGCGCTGACATAAGAACTTCCCGAAACCCAGATTGTGGGCTTTCTTTGGAACCGCTCCGTTGCCAAGCTAACCTAGTTAGGTTTGTTTTTAGCCGGGTGGCTAGTGCTAGCTGACCCCTAAAGCACCTATCCCTCACCATGTCAGTGTGTGGACATTGTTTGCCGGCGTACCCACTGTTGCAGAATGACATCAGGCAGCTAAGGCAGGATCTTAAAAACAAGGATGATCTAAACACTCCAGCTGACGACTGACAGCTGACACTCTCCTGCTGTCCAACAAATTCCAAACTTTGGAAAATAGGGATGAACTACGGCTGAGTGAGTGGCCAGGCCCCCGCTCCTGATGTGGCAGCTGATGGCTCCCCAACCACCACAGATCCAGCCTTGGCCCTGCCACGCTCTGCCACCAACACCGCTTAGAGTCTCCCCGCCTCCCAAGGCCGGAGTGGTACTAGTCCGGATCGCCTACCCTCTCCTGTTTGCCAGGACTGACCAAATCCCACTGGCTTGGCTCATCCATCTGCCACTCATCCGGTGGACCTCAACTCCCCTTGTCTACTGGCTGCTACGGCCCCTCGGGTCTCCAATGTGCCTCAATGGCGAATGTCTCTAGCGCAACCGGCCCCGCATCACCTGCGCTTGGGTCCGTCCTCGGCG